GTCTGTCCTGTGTTTGAGTCATTGTGTGGGTGGGTGGGTAGTCAAGCAAGCAATTACATAGAGTATGCTTGCATTTCTAAGTGTTCTTATTGGTATGCCCTGAAATAAATAGAACTACATTTAAAAAAGAAAAATAAAAAAAAATAGTTCTCAAGATTGGTGTACTTTGGAGCAAGCTGGGAACACTGCCCCGCCCAAAAACAAAAACAAAACAAAACAAAAAAAAACCCACACTGGTAAGTGAATGTATGTGTGCTACCTGAGCCCTAGAATTGTTGAAAAGTAGGATGAAATCCCAGCTACCAGGAAAAGAAACATCAAGGCCTGCAGATGATGAGAGGATTGCAGAAATTGTTTGGTGTTAGGAGCTGTGGTAGGATAGGATGTGATTTTCAAATGACCAAAGTAAGAGATTTTTGTTAGAATCATTATCTCATACATATATATCCAAAGTATAAAACATATGCGCAACATATTCAAAGTGTTGTTGTATTAAGTTATAAGCAGAAATTAGTATCAAGTCAAGCATTGAGACTAAGAAGTCTTTTTTATGAACTCAAAATATGTCCAATGAAGCTCACCATTGACTTAAATCAGTGTCAGGATTCCAATTTACTTGTGTATGTTGTTTTGGTTGTACGATATCAAGGAGATTCTGATTCACTTGGCTTAGCAATAATTTTTACTTGTATAATTTTACATTCAGTCTTTTTAAGGCCAGTTTACAGCTATAACGGTATTAAACAATGACACACACACACACACACACAGTTCAAATATATGCAGAGATGGCAGAAGACACAGACATTGAGGCTGCATTCAAACAAGGTAAACTTGAGCAGTTTAGCTCATTTATCTCCTTTGTGATAAAATTTGAATAGAAGTATATTTGGATGTGTATACTTTTGTTACCATTTAAAATATACTAAAAAGCCAAATAAACGTTTATATCAGCAATAGTGAGACACAGTGACAATGTGAGCTTCCTAGTGTGATCTCCTGAAAAGTATCGCTTCCCAGCTACAAATACATAAACTGAATCTAATCATGAAGAAACATCAAACAAACCCATGGTAAGGGGCATCCTACAAAACAAGAGATCTGTGTTCTTCAAATAATTCAGTGGCATGAAAGACAAAGAGGCTGAGGAGTTATTCCAGACTAAAGATGACCAAAGAGGGCTGGGGTTGTTGTGCAGTAGCAGAGCGCTTGCCTTGCACATGTGAGGCACTGGGTTCGATCCTCAACACCACATGATCATTATTATCCAAAGTACGGGTATGAAGACATGAATTGGTGTGACTATACGTGTATACAACTAGAGATATGAAAAATCGTGCTCTATATGTGTAATAAAAATTGTAATGCATTCTGCTGTCATATATCAATAAAAATAAATTAAAAAATTAAAAAATAAACAAATAAAATAAAGGCATGCTGTTCATCTACAAGTACAAAAAAATAAAAATTAAAAAAAAAATGACCAAAGAGACATTATGACTAAAGGCAATGTGTGATCCTGGTCTACCCAATGTAAAGAACTTCCAAAGTACACTAAGTTTGAGATTTGTTTCTTTTTGCAATTTCTTTCTTCTTGTGCTAAAGCACAGAAAAATGTCAAGGATATTGTTGGGACAATTGGTGAAATAGATGGTAGAGTCATGCCAATGTTAATTTTCTTGAATTTGATCATTGTGCTGAGTTTCTGAAAGAGAATATCCTTGTTCTTAGAAAACACTTAATGAGGTTTTTAGGAGTAAAATGTGATGTCTCAAACAGGCGAATATAACAACAACAATAATAACAGTAAGAGGAGGAGGAGGAAGAATAAGGAGGATGTGTGGATCTATACAGGTTGATAGATAATCAATGCATAAAGCAAATGCTAACAATTGGTAAAGTCGTTAAATAAATATATGAGCGTTTTGGTGTGTGTGTGTGGGGGGGTACTTGAGCACTATCTTAAAAAACATTTCTGTAAGTTTTAAACTATTTTTAAATGTAAAGTTAAACATCAACTAACAACCTAAATATAACCACCTTCTGAATATTTTTAAGTTTATTTAGAAGATATCAAAAAACATGTAGGAAACAATAGTCACATCAAGAGTTGGCAGACCTTTTAGAATGAGCCAATACTTGGAAAACCATAGTCCAGGGCATCTGTTAGCTCTGATTGGCATGGATGTGCTTGGAGGTTATAGACAATGAACAGGAAATTCCACTGAACAGTGAAGTGTTTACCTTAGTTGACAAACAAATCCATATCCCCCAGAGAGGGTCCATCCTGTTCTCTGCCTGAAAGTTTCTTCCCTGCCGTGCCATCTCTTACTCTGTGGCCCAGCTAACTGCTGTTCACCCCGCAGCTGTCAACCTCAGCACCCCTTCCTCCAGGAAGGCTTCTCTGATCTCCTGAGTCAGAAGTGGCTGTCCCTCCTTTATGCCTCCCCACCTCCACCCAGTATCCTGAATGTGCTGCCCCTGTTAGAGCACTGGATGCCCCTAAGCCTATTGTCTATCTCATGAGTTTTTAGGGGCCTCCAGGGCTGTTCTGTTTGGGGGTGTGATGCTGATGCTCAGCACCCTGCCTAGGATGTGTGTGAAGCTCTTCATAAATGCTTGCCTGATAAATGAATAGTGAACAGTCTGTGAATCTATAGGTCAGGTGATGTGGGTTTGTAAATCCATCCCCTTGGTAGAATTTCAACATGAAAGTGTTTCATATTATACAATGTTTACCTCATTCTCATCTCCTGCCCCAGAAGCAGATCTCAAGGCTCTGTCTCCTTCTCCCCTGGAGACAGGCCTGTGCACCGTGCATTTGCATTGACCAAAAGCTACTGTTCCAAATATCCTTCTATTATGGCCAACCACTGCTGCAAGTCTACTCTGAGCTATCAGTGAAAAGTAACTCTGAATGTCCCACGGCGAGTATTTGCTCCCATTCTATTTTCCTAACATGTTTCTAGGCTGCCCCATCATTTTTTCCACCTTTATCAGGGGCTCTGCATCCAAGGAAGTCAACTCTTTCAGCATGAGTCTAGCAAGACTAGCAGGATAGGAAAAGGATAGAAAAAAAAAATATAGCCACACAGCATATTTCAAGGGCATTTTATAAATTTATTTGAAAAACTCAAATTACTATAGAGCAGGAGTTGTGGGGCAGATTTGCATTGCAAAGTAACTTCATAAGGTACTCACAGCCATATAGGAATGATTTGGGACTCCCTGTCTTAGAGAGAATTCAAAGCCTACTTCCTCCTTTTTATACTGCTAGATTAGAACCAAGACGGACACATCAAAGGTTGCATATCAACTCTCTGTGCTTTCTGAAGCCTAAATTTTTAAAGTACAAGCAGACCATTAATTATTCTTGCCTATCTGTAGGCCCCTTCTCTCTCCCTAGATCCCCACCTGACACTCTATGGGCATTTCATATGGGAAAGATAGTTTTCATGGCTGGGGTCACTGCTTTATGCCACCCAGATGGTTCAGAAAGTGACTTCAAAATTTCATCATTTCACTTTGAGTTATTAAAGACAGAAGGCCAGCTGGTCAATTGCTAAGATTTGGTGCTGAGTTCTAGGGATTTCTCTTCCCCACTACATTGGTGGTCCAATTACTTGTGAGAGTGTCGAGTGGGGCCAGGGTCTTTCCTTGATTCTTTGGAACAATTGTGATACTCTACTTTTAATGAATCAGACTAAGCCTAGAGGAAGTTGGCAGATGGAGGAGGAGGAAGAGAGAGAAGGAACTGTCTTTATAAGGCTTTCTTGGTAGTAGATGGACAGTAACCAAATGCTCTCAATTTCTGGGTTTCATCCTTTGGTAAAAATGGATGGACTTTTGTCTCCTGAGACAGATATAATAAGGATATACCCAAAACAGTTTGCATATAGATTGCCTTTTGTCTCCCATTTCTAGAAGTGACCTCTTTATGGACCCCAAGTTAAGAAACCCCAGGCTAAGGAAAAGATCACACCCCAAGTAGTGATCACTGGGAAATGGAGAAGAATGTAAGCAAATTATCACTGTCAGTAGCTTGTGAGTCACCAGACTGTCCCAGTAACTCATTCCTCTGTGTGGGCAGAGGAGCCACACATAAAAGACCACAGCATCAGATAGGGGAGGTAGGCAGTTTGGAATTGCCTCCAGAATTATTCCTGCTTGTGACAGGTTCTGACTATAACAATTCCAGCAGAATGCATCCTCTTTCCCAACTACAGAAGTGCTTATCACACTGGATTGAACTTGGCTGTCTAGGCCTGTTCCTAAAATGTCCTAGGAAGTACCATGCTCCTTCAGCTGTGCCTGGTGCTCAATAGGTACTTCTTGAATCCAGTTGGTGAATTAATTAGCGTGCTCACTAATTAGTAAATGAATTTGCATAAATATATTACATTTTAAGGGCCACCTGGTCTTTCTCTATGCCCCAAGCAAGACAATCACTAAATCTCAAACTATTCTGGCCAATGGATATAGTCCTAGAGATAGAAAATTTGATGTGGGGCTGGGGTTGTGGCTCAGAGGTAGAGCGATGGCCTTGCACATGCGAGACCTGGGTTCGATTCTCAGCACCACATAAAAATAAATAAGTGAAATAAAGGTATTGTGTCCAACTACAACTAAAAAATAAATATTAAAAAAAAAGAAAATTTGAGAGTGTGATAGGAACCCATGAGAGGAAACCCCAATTTACAAATAATGTATAGATTGATGGTGTTTGAAAGCAGGTTTTTTTTTTTCAAGCTTTAAAGTATCTAAGAATCATTTAGGGATCATGTCAAAATGTGCATTTGGATTCATAGGTCTGGGACCTGAGATTCTATACTCAAGACTTGAAAGTTCTGATTTAGATAATGAGTTGTTCCTACTACCCAACATGAACATCCAATTAAGAGATTGCTCTTTGAGACAAAATGCAGGAGGCAAAGTAAAAAAGAAACAAGAAAAGTCAGCACCCTAGATCCTCTCTGGGTAACCCTGGGGCCTCTGTTGCTACCCCATTCATAACTGGGGTGCTAATGTCTTCCTTTCTTCACCCCCCACCTTTCTCCTAAAAGCTCAGAATACAGATTAGAGGAGACATATGCTTGAAGTTGGAAGGAAACCATTCCAGTCCCTTTCTTCCTTCTACCTGACAAAATAGTAAGTAGTTAATACTTTGCTATTGTGGTATATTGTTTTTTTTGTCCATGACTTCCGGCTCATGACTCTCTCCATAAGGCAAACTGCAGATGCTAGAATTTCTCCTCCCCAAAGCAAGTTCTAGAACTCCAATCCTCCCCTGGCCTTCCTATGTTGGGACTGGCCACAAAGAAATTCTTTGATGCACCTCGTCTGATGGTAGATCCTAAGATCCCCATTTCAGAAGGGGTCCTGCCCCTTACAGGGAAGTCAAGAAGGATTTGAACAGACAGGTCTTGCTGGGCTTCCCCTCTCAGTCTATTAGGGATAGATCAGACCCTTCTCATCCAATCACATTTCCACATGGTTGTCCGTGCTTCATGGTGTCTCTGCAATGAAGTCTTCATTAGAACCCAAACAGATGGGGTTCAGAGATCTTCCAGAGGGCCAAACACGTGGCAGTTCCAGGAGGGTAGCATACAAAGAGGGCATGGAAGCTCTGTATGCCTCACACAAACCTTGCCCTGTGGGTCTCTTGTAATCCCTTTTATCATAATCTGGCGAATATAAGTGTTTGCCTGAGTGCTGTGAGCTGCTCTAGCAATCACTGAATCTAGGGAGGGGTCTGTGGGTACTGTGATGTGCCCAAAGAAGCACAGGTAAAACAACCTGGGTTTGCAATGGGCCTGTGACCATGGGGACAATCTCATTGAGTGAACCCTTAGCCTCTGGGATCTGGTGCTATCTCTGGATAGACAGTGTTAGAATTGAATTAGGGGACAGCTTGCCTCCACTGTAGAATTGCTTGCTTGATGTGTTAGAAGGAACTCCCTACACATCTGGTATCAGAAATGATCTGTGTTGAGTGTAAAATAGAAGAAACTGAGTCTGAGTCTATTTTTCTGTGGCCCCAGAGTGGGTGCCTAGAGAATGGACCTTCCAGGCAGAGTTTAACATCATATTTCAGGTGACATATTTAATCTGTTCCCTCCAACCCCTTTCCTCCTGTCATTCACCCAGAATTTCTCAGTTTCTCAACCGGCGAGCTGCAGCAGAACCCATACCCCAGAGTTAAGATCATAAGATGAGAGAAAATGAAAACACACACAATGTGACCCATTGACTTTTCCTGATCCACAAGGTTCATTCTTCAGGTTTTCTATAGGTAGAAATAATACGAGCCATACTTGGGTCCCGATTCTGACAACCTGAACCTTAAAGAAATGATACAAGGGGAAAGTTTCAATTATTTAAAAAGTAGAATCAACAAAACCTAGGAGACTTCAAAGGTCATGTAATCCAATATCCCACTCAGTGCCCGAATCCCTTCTTACAGTATACTGTCACATGTGGACCTATCTGGGCCATTTTACTCAAGCCCCTCTCGTGAGAGCAGGCCCCAAACTACCCTTTTCCATGCAGTCTGAGTCCTGAACCACCGGCCAGATGTGCTCCATTTCCCTGTACCAAACAGCTCCCAGCTGCCTCATCTTTTGGTCTTGTTACTCATTGATCCCTATTTATGAGCTTGGTTTGTCCTCTGGGTCTGACATTCCCTCCAGATAAGAGCAGGTTGTAGTGAACTGTAATCAAGTTGGCGAGTCAAAGTCCAGGCCAGATAAAGACAGACCTCCTACTTTTCTGAAGTTGACCTCCCTTTTCGAGTTTTTATCCATAGTAACCTAGCTCTGTCTTCCCTGATCTTTTCTAAGGTCACCTTCTTGATGGCAGTCTGACTGTGCTTGTCTCCTAACAGTGTCACTTTTTTCCTGATGTTCCCATTCTTTCTCAGTTTTTAATCAGCTTTTCTGGACTGAACAGGATTCAGTTCACAGTAGCATCCTTCCTGTCCTCAAGAGGCAGGTGAGGCCTTGGTACCCAAGCATTGAGTACCTACACCAGAGGCATAGGGTGGGATTTGGGGATCTGAACTTTAATAAGCATTGCAAGAGATCCTGCTGTAGGTGATCAGAGGCCTAACTTGGAAAAATGTTGATTGGAGTTTTGGTGTCAGATACTCTGGAGTTCAAGTCCTGTCTCTGCATCTCACCAGTCGTACAACCTTGGGGAAATTGTTGATCTGTATAGGCTTCAGTTTCCTCGATTTTTATAGGCAGATGATAAAAACCCATCTCTGAGATTTAGAACTACAAAATGATGTTCTAGAAAGTGCTTCCTATAATTCAAGGCAGGTTAGTAAGCCCTCATTAATGTGAGCTAGCATTGCTATTAGTATAATTGCTTTCTTTATCTTTAGGATAGGAATTATTAGAAGATAACTGTTTATCACACGTCCTTCATAGCTGGCTGAGATTTTTAATTGATGCCTGTGAGTTCTTCTGATCACCCTGTGATTTTCCTCTGCGTGAATTTTGTCATTCCTATTGGTACTTTATTACCATTTCCATGCATAGCCATGGGCCTTGTATTTAGTAGGGAATCAAAATTTGTTGAATATTTTTGAATGAGCGCATGCCATCTGGCCAGGCCCTCTGTGCTCTACTCTCCCTGCACCATCACACATCTGTTCATCTTCCCTCCCCACGTGTTCTCCAAGGATGCTTTGGTCATATAGACCTGGTTGGGTTCCTTCCTGGCCTGACCTGTGCCAGTTCCCCATTTTAGGTGAAGAGTGCCATCCCGTGGGATCTCATTGATGCCTTCTTTGTATTAAAACTTCAGATTCACTTAATCATATAGCATTTGCATTGTGCACATATGGAATGTTAGAAGAGAGAGATAATGAGAGCCAAGGCTGGTGACTTGAGAGTAAGGGTTGAGGTGGTGGGAAAGACAGGGGGGTGGGGTGGAGAACGTGGCTTTGATGACCCATAGGGAATAGGCAACCACGTTCCCTTGCACAGAAGTGTTCAGTTGAGTTTTTGGTTTTGTTCATTCCGGTGCTCTACAGTTTTGAAAATTTCATTTACTTCAGGACTTGGCAAAGAGTATCAAAAGAATAATTCAGAAGACATTGTCACAATGTTAAGAGACGGTGGAACCTGCTCTGTGGATAAGTTCCATTTGAAGTCCTCGATCAGTGAATAAGTGCAGGTAACAGCTACACAGAGAACATGCATGGAAATACAGCTGTCCCTTGCTATCTGGAGGGAGGCAATTGGTGTTGATACTGAACCTACAGATGCCCCAGTCCCTTATATAAAATGATACAGTATTTCCAAGTAACCTAGCAATCCTCTCATGTACTTTAAATCATCTCTAGATGACTTATAATACCTAGTATAATAAAAACAAGATGTAAATAGTTCTTACACTGTAATGATTAGGAAACAATGACAAGGAAAGAGGTCTATATTTTCAGCACAGACCTAATTTTTTTTGCATATTTCCAATCTGTGATTGATTGAATCTATGTATATGGAACCTGTGGTTCTGGAAAGTCGACCATACAAGGATCATGGGGTTCCAGTGTTCAGAGTTTGAAGGCAGTAATAAAGCATGGGGTTAGAAGCAAAGGAGTTTTTTTTTGGGGGGGTGGTGGAGGCATCTCTGCCATTTATAAGTTGTATGTGACCCTGGGCAAGTCACTTGAGCCCCCTGAGCCTCAGTTTCCTCCTCTGTAGAATGAGAGTAATAGTCAGATTTTACTTCCCAGGGTTGCTCTGATAATTAAATGTTAAGCACGTAGTATGAAGCCCAGGACGTAGTTATCCCGGGACTGTTGTTGTTGTAGTCAGCTTTTTCATTGCTGTGACCAAAACCCCCAAGAAGAACAACTGAGAGGAGGAGAAGTTCACTTGGCGATCAGGGTTTCAGAGTTCTCAGTCCACAGATGACCCACTCCATGGCTTGAGGTGAGGCAGCACATCTTGGGGGAAGGGCCCACCAGAGGGAAGCTTCTCAGCTCCTGATGGGGTTCAGAAGCAGAGGGGCAGGGAGAAAGGGGTGCAGAGCAGATGCAACCTTCCAGGACATGCCCCCCAGTGACTCACCTCCTCCAGCCATGCCCCAGCTACCCACAGCTCCCACCCAGTCATTCCAATCATGAGGATGGACCGATTCGGTCACAGCTCCTATAATCCAATATTTTTACCTCTGAATATTCTTGCAATGAATAGGAGCTTTGTGGTGAGGGGACACCTCATATCCATAACAATATTGTCCACTGTCCCCTTCCCCTGCGGCTTTGATGCTGCTTATAACCAGTGGTAGGGGAGAGAATGTCTTTCCTATTCTGGTTCCTCTCTGCTTTTGACACCCTCTTTCTCTGGTGTCCTCTTATCTGTTGGTTCATATCAGACTGGTCACTTCCTTGTAGCTGAGCCAACATTCTAATTGCCGAGAGTTCATGGCCGCTCTATCTGAAGTTTCTCAAAGTTCAGCCGTGAAGGTACATTGACTTCCTGGCTTCCCATTCATTCACCGTCACCTGAGTTCCTAATTGCTATTGCCTAACCAGGTGTGTGCTCGCCTCTCAGGAGGTGCATTTCTCTCCCAGGGTAAATATAAATGCATAGAGCATAAGCATAATTTCCAGGATTTTCTTCCCCCCCAGCCCCATATTTTGTAGAGGGAAGTTTCATGGCTCAACGAATCCCAGTCTTCTCAGGCATCAGATCCCTTTGAAATGCTTTAGAAAAATACAGCTTCCAGGTCTCCCTCCTAGTTCTTTTAAATTGAAGTCTTAGTGGCTATGAACCTCTGGAATAAAATAAAAAACTAGGATTAGGTGCATAAATAGTACAATTTCTGAGATGAATCGTTGCCTAGTCAACTGAATGGCCGTTGCATCCAAGTGGTCTCTCTCTTTTTCACATGGGGTAGAGCAGAAGAAAACTTAAGATTTTGAGTTTCCTGCTTCCTGATTCTCTCAGGAATGCTGCAGACCCCACCTACGATGGCTTCAGGATTCTGTGAGACTTCATCTCCTTCAAGTTCAATCGTGACTGCTCTCACGACAGTGCTTTCCAGCCTTCCGTGTAAAACCCCTCTGGAGTGTGTACTGGTTCCAATCAGTGCCCTGCACTAGGGGTAGAAGGATTGAGCCTTCAACTTGTGCTTCATTTGCTTCAGTGGACCTAAGACTCTATGAGAAGGTGGAAGTTTATTTGCTTCAGTGACCTAAGACTCCCTGAGAAGGTGGAAGTTTATATTCAAACAGGGGTGAGTCAGAGCAGCCATTGGGAAGAAGAGGTGGCAGAAAAACAGGAAGAGGAACAAGAAGATGCCTATTTAAGTTACATGGGAGGAACAATCCTAAAGCACATGAATTGTGCTCTCTGTGAAGACTCAGAATGGCTGAGAGAATGAGGTATCCCGTTAGTGGCCTTGTGTGTGTTCCTGACTTCCACTTACTCTGATAGGGGAGCCCTCCTTCACACATTGTGTTCCTGGATAGTTATGTGCAAACCGCTTCTGCAAACTGGATCTGCTAAGGGCTGCTATCTTCTCCCACTTGGCTTTCTTTCTGTTGGCAGCATCTCTGAACACCTGAGCTCTTAGTGCCTCTCTCTAGCATCTGTCAACAGGCACTCTGTAAGTGGATTCTGAAGGGCCCTCCCTTTTTCCTGGTGGAGAGGGGATGCACCACCTCCTCGGTGCCTCCTAACAGTTGCATGAATCGGTTTTCATCACACGATGCTTTGTGTTTCGAATGCTCCTCAGGTGGTTCGGCACCCTGATTCCTTCTTCCCACCTACGGCACACATGCACATTGTAGAAAAATGATAGGGAGACGTTCAAAAGACGGAAGGAGGAAGTTCTATGAAAGATGAGCTAGAGCTCGATTTTTGAATTTTCCTTCTTCAAGACAAGGAAGTTGTGTTGGGTGCTCCAGGGTGGCCTTGTACCATATTCCTGTAGCATCATCTGGAATGGGTTGCTGGCCTGGGAAAAGGAGGGAGAAAGATTCAGGCAGGATGGGAGAAGGAGAAGGGTGTGTGATACACACAGGAGGGTCTTTCCACCACAGCACTGGTGACATTCGGGGGCCAGATGACTCTTTGTTGTAGGAGATGGTTGTGTGCATCCTGGGGTGTTAAGCAGCATCTATGACCTCTACCCAGTAGATGCCCATAGTGTCTTCCCTCCCAGCAAAGATGTCCACAGACATTGCTAAACATCTCTTGGGGGGCACAGTTGCCTCCGGTTAAAGATCAACACATGCTGTTGAGCTTGCATTGGTCTGGATTTGTCCATGGAAGAACTTGCCTTAACCATTCCTCTGGTGTTTCTTAGATATTCCCTCCTAATAACTAGGCTTTCCTTGGCCTGTCTTTAACTGTGTGGTCCTGGAAGGCCATTCTGCTTCCTCACACCTCCAGTGACTTGGGTCTGTGCCTAGAGTCAGCGTCCCAGGGCCCTGCCAGGATACAACAAGATATTGGTTGGGTAAAATGTATTAAGTGTCGACGTGCAAGCCAGGTCTGCTGCAGGAACTCCAACCAGAGCCATGAGGTCTCTATCATAAGGAAGCTCACCACCCTGCAGCAGGAAGCACTGTTGAGGGAAGGTTTCTAAATTATGAGAACCAGGAGACACATTTTGAATCCCTCTTCAAATCTTTCCTCTCACAAAGAGAAACTGAGGTCAGGGTGAGCATGGGACTCACCTGGTGATGTCCGTGTCCAGGCAGAGATTGGGATTGGAGGGCTGTGTGGATGATAGTCACAGCGGATTCCCTCTGGTACTTTCGCTGTCTCTCTAACTTTAGACAAGAATACTAGTGACCTCGGTGGTGGTGATACCGCCAGAGTGTCAAGGTCCTCTGGGAGGAGGGACTCCATAAGGATGAGTGGGCTACCAATAAGTGGGAGGTGGTTAGAGAAGGAGCCCTAAAGGAGGGATAGGATCCAAAAGGTGAAATTGGGCACCAGCATGGCAGGAGGTGACAGAGAAACAGTGGCAGGGGCTGGGGTTGTAGCTCAAAGAGCAAGGCCCTGAGTTCAATGCCCAGCACTGCAAAAACAACAGCACCAACAACGGTGGCACGAAGTTTGGAAAACAGGGACACCAGGGAAGAGCAGTCTGATGGGTCGGAGAACAAGCTGGCAGAAGGAAGCGATAGGAAGGAAGGGAGGCTGGAAATTGGGGACCGTTAAATTAAAATGCTCACTAATGAGAAATAAAAAGTGTGAAAAAGCATTTTAAGCTTAAACAGTATTTTGTTTCTTTGTCACATCCCCTTCGTTGTCCATTTGGATTGTTTCACATGTGCATGCATCCATAGGAGTAGTGAGTGCTGGGTGCTGGGTTAGACCATGAGTGTTAGGCACTGAGTTAGACCATGTATTGTTGACCATGGAGATTCTTCACTTCCCACCCCTGTGTCATTTCTCTCCCAGATCATCCTGGACTTCCATGGGCGCTGCTGAGTCTTGGATGCCCCAAGCTCTCTGGATGATTGGCAGCCGGAATGAGTTAGCCTGGAGCCGTTCAGACCGCCTTTCTATAACCACAGAAGAGGTGTCAACCGCAGATAGATCCTTGGAGCAAACAGAGATCCGCTCAGAAGAGCTTTTGAATAAATGAAATTGCTCTGAATGGCCCTGGTGTTGAAGTGACTTGTTGCAAAAAATTGGATATATTAGAGGGCTGGGTGCCCGAGAAGCACCTGCAGCATCGGGATTTTCGGTGTGACACACCTGTCCTCTGGAGCTTGCGTCGCTAGCCTCCAGCTTACAGTGTGAAAAAGATACAACCTGCTTGTTTGTGCTTTGTGTGCGTGTGTGTGCTTCTCTGGTCTGTGGCTGTTTAACTTCCCACACGTGCCTGTCCTCCACTGTGAGCTGACATATTGTCTTCTTGGAGGTCACCCTGTCTCCAACGTCTCTCCCACTCCAGGCTGGGGTGTAGACTGCTGTGCTGGAGTCAACTGCAGTCCATGGGGTGGGGGAGGGGAGAGCTTGGAGGGGTGTGAGATCAGGGAGGGGGTAGTTGGCAAGGGGGTGGCATTGCCCAGGCTTGCAGTGTGGAATAGTGAGGATTGCTGTCAGCTCCGACGTTCTCCCTGTACCCTCCCAGACCCTCTCAAGCTTTTTCTCTGGTCACAGTGTTCTCTTTTTTCCCCACACTTGTGTGGAGAGATTGCTGGTGTTTATCTTCTTGGTATCTGGGGTTGAGCCCAGGGGTGCTTTACCACTGAGCCACATCCTCTGCCCTTTTTAGTTTTTATTTAGAGACACAGTCTTTCTAAGTTGCTTAGGGCCTGGCTAAGTTGCTGAGGCTGGCCTTGAACTTGTGCTCCTCCTGCTTCAGCCTCCCGAGCCCCTGGGATTGCAGGCGTGCACCACTGTGCTGGGCTATTTCGGATATTTAGAAAGTCATTGTTTAGACTCCTACAGGCAAGGCGACCTTCTTAAGCATCTCTATCATGATTTGTAGGAATTCAAAAGGAGAGTGCATGGGATCTGTGTGCTCTTTGAATTTATGGCTCATAGCATTGACTATCTATGTCGCACTTACCCATCACAGTATGCATGCAGCAATGTATTTGTCAAAAGTATGAGCTGATCAGGGACTCCCATGACTTTCCCAGGTGATAAGAGCAAAGTAGTGAGGGGCAAACGCATGTGTAGTCACTGAAGTAACCCACAGCTACCTTTACCTTATTGGCATAGTGAAAGCACACCCCCAGGTGGAGAGTCACAATGACCATGAGACATGCAACACATAGCATGACATGATAAAGAAGAGCAGAGGCTTGACTCAGTCCCACCTCCACATGTGACATCCAGAGACCATGTTCCTGCCTAGCCTGTACATGCCACAAAAGCTGTACCCCTTTGTTCCTCGCTGGAGTTAGCTTGGGATTCCTGCCCCCCCCACCACCACCAAGTATTGTCTCCTTTCTGGCTCAGGCAGAAGCCTTGACTGTGCTTCATTTCTTTCTGGGTCCAATGTCTGTTTAACTCTGGTTCCAAGAACCTGAGATTGGAAACAGTTTCAATTATGATGGTGTGATAATCCCATGAGTTAAGAGAAGAGAGATTAAATGGGCGAAAGGCTTTAGATGTGGGGGGTCTGGACAAGCCTACATAGGTAAGATGAGGGAGATGATGTTAAGAATGGGAAGGGTTCTGGGCTAAGGGAATAGCCTGAGCAAATGCCCTGGGGCCAGCAAGATAGCTGTTGGCATGTTGGAGAAACTAAATGAAAGGCAGGGCATCTGGGCTGTAGCAAGCAAGAGGGAAGTACAATAGGGGATGAGATGGGAGCAAAAGGCCGGGGCCAGATTCTGCAGCAATGAGTTTTTTTTCTCTGAGTGCATAGAGAAGCTGCTAGTGAGTTTCAACCTGGAAACTCACATCTTAGGTATTTTGGTTTGTTTTGTATTTAGTTGAGGCGTAACCCACCGGAAAGTGTTCAGATCTTAAACACACCTCAAGTTTTTAACATATATATACCCAGACAAGGATACAGAATATTTCCATCACGGACTTTGGTTTTAAGACCACTGTTGATGCTGTGTCAAAAACAGATTGAAGAGACTGAGGTAGAAAGATCTCAAGTTGGAGGCCAGCTTTGGCAGTGTAGAGAGACTGCCTTTAAATAGATAGATAGATAGATGATAGATAGATAGATAAATAGATAGATAGATACATAGATAGATAGATAGATAGATAGATAGATAGATAGGCTGGGTCTATAGTTCAGCAGTTAAGTGTCCCTGGGTTCAATCTCAAGTATGAGGAGGTTGGAGGCAGGATTGAAGACAGGGTGGAAAAGGGAAGATCGGTTATAAATGTTTTGAGTCCATTTGGCAGAGTGATGATAGGCGTGGGATAGCAGTGAGGAGGGAGAGAAGTGAGAGATTTGAAAAGAGTTTTGGAGATGGAGACAATCAGACTTGCCATGAAATGGATATGAGGAAGTGAAGGAAAGAATACTGATCCCTAGGTGTGGAGCCTGTGCCACATGGAATGACAACGGTGCCTTCACAGAGATGGAGCAGCTTAGTGGAGGACGGGTGTTGGGGGTGGGGAAGAGAAATGGAAAAACCCCCCTCTGGACATGCTCATGTTGAAATACCCATGGAAGATGCAAGTGAGATGTCAAATAGGACTGGATTAAAGATACAAATCCCTAAGGCAACAGCATAAAAAGGTGAGAGGGATCAGCAGACATGGGTAAGATTACCTAGGAAAATCAGGAGACAAGGAAAGAGAAAAACATGGGCCTCATGCTTAGATGCAGATAATGGAGGAACCAGCAAAGGAAATGGAGGCAGAGAAATCTAAGACAGAAAGAGTCTGTTGTGCGCAGTCGTGGTGCATGTGCAGGGGCGAGGGGGACAAAGTTAAAATAATATATTTATGCCCATTGCATCTGGTGATAAGGAGATCAAGGTGACCTTAAGAAGTCACCCCTGTGGAGCAAGGTGGGTATCAGCCAGATCTGACAATAGGAGGTACTTAATGGAGACAGGTTTTGATGGTATTGAAGCAAAAGGAGAAATGTAGTACTGAAAGAGAACACACGGTGGCGCACGCCTGTAATCCCAGCAGCTCAGGAGGCTGAGGCAGGAGGATAGTGAGTTCAAAGCCAGCTCAGCAACTTAGCGAGGCCCTAAGCAATTCAGCGAAACTCTGTCTCTAAATAAAATATAAAAAGGGCTGGGGATGTGTGGCTCAGTGATTAAAACAAAACAATAAAAAACCCCAAACAAACAAAAAACAGACACCGGCTGGTCTGCAGAGAGTCACTTGACATAAAGAGAAATTTTTAAAATGAGAGCTTAGTTGTCTGATAATGGGAATTCTCCAGGATAGAGGGAGATGTCTGGTCCAGAGGAAAGTAGAGAGAGCTTAAGGACCCAGGACCCCTAGGAACCCAGGGCAGAAGTGGAAGAGAAGAAGATGGACACAGGCGTTGGTCAGTTGGAGGTTTGGTACTGGGAAGATGAAGAAGTTAGGACCTATTTCTCTTTTCTGTTTTGAATGAAAACTAATGAAAGTGAGGTTGGGGCATGGAGGCCTGAGGATTGGATACGAAGTTGTTGTATAGAGGAGTTGGAGAGTGTGCTCTGGACACATCTGGATAGGTAGCTGACCACGAATGTGTGTCTGTTTTAGGTTTTTGATCAGAAGTGAAAAGCGGAGCCACTCTGTGTGAGTTTCCCTGATCCCATGTTGCGGTGCTGACTGGAGCAGGCAGAGTTTGAGTGGACAGAAAGAGGAGCAGGGGAGATACTCTGTGATCAACCGTGCAATCCAGGCCAGCCAGGAAGGCCCGGGCGTGAGGGGAGAGGGAGCACCCAGGAGCTCACGGGAGGCACAGAAGGCCTGTATGCTGAGCCTCCAAAAAGAAAATTCTCTCTCTGCACCATTCTTTGTCATTAGTGAACAGAACAGAGCACTTGCCCAGAAAGCAGGGGTGACACCCAGTGGCCACTCCTGGGAGTGCAGCTTCTTGGTCGTAGGTCATGAAACCAGGAGGTGCTTGCCCTGTTCCACTTGGGGGGGTGTTCAAGCTTCTCTTTCTCCCCGCAACTGACCCTCAGCATTTGGTCCCACTGGCCCTGGGCATTCTAAGGCGATAGAGTAGGGAGAAGGGGACCACCTAGACCCCGAAGGCTGTTAGTTCCAGAGCTCAGACCCGCACTTCTCAGCCAGTTCCCTGCTCTCCTGGGACAGATCCTGCAAAGCCCTGCCCAGGTTCAGATAAATGCCAGGTAGTGACACCAACGTCTTCTAGCCCACAGTTGTCCTGGGAAATTGCCCTCCTCTCCACCACCTCCCAAGAGTTGACTGTCCTTTGTGATCAAAGAAGGTCCTATTGTCCCTGGCTCTGCTTGACCCACGTACTGGGATCTGGCTTAGTGCGGGAGGCCGCCATGTCGTGTGACCAGCATTTTCCTCTCCTGATTGGTTTGAGGCACTGTCGGTCACTTCCAGTGGTCTGGCCGCCTTCAAGTGGCTGTAGAGGGTAGCCCCAATCTTGAGAGTAGTAAAAATGTAACAAATGTGTCTTCGTGCGTAGGGTGCCTCCCTGTAGCCCCATGGGTCGAGCTGTGCTCACCTGTTCCTCAGTGATATTACCTCTTTGCCCTGTTTGGGATAGAATGTTCCATGGAAACACCCTTTGTGTGTCCCCTTCTCTTGCTCTGCCCTTGGGTGTGGCCTTCCTAGATGTCAGTCAACCTGCTGACAGCAGACATCAGGAAGCTAGACTCAACCCCCTGAAACCTGACCCCTTGCCTCATTTGAATGGCTTTTCCTCAATAAAAGGGGTCAGCACATGCTCTCTCTCTCTCTCTCTCTCTCTTTCTGAGGACTCTTAAGGTCAGAGAAGCCATCACAGGACCCCCAAAGAGAAAGGTATCTCTGTCTCTTGTGTGGTTATTTCGTGTAGCCCAGTTCCTCTGGAGTGACTCTGAGTGTTTTTTGGCAACGGGAACAGAACAGCTTAGTCCAGAGAGAATCGAAGCTTTCTCCCCATCACAGGTCCCTGTCACTTGTCATAGCTGGCTGAACTTCTGGGCCAAAGAACCAGGTGCCTCTTAGTGTGAGGCTGTTCTGCCCAAGGGCCATACAAAGAGGACCATAACAGAACAGCTTGCCCTTTTTGCAGCACCCCCACCTTTTTTTCTTCTTTTTTAAAATCTCAACATCTTTTATAGTTCTGGCATGATTATTTAATGTTTGAAGCATGATATTTACACCAAAGCATATTTCATAAACTTTAAGGAGAAAGAAATAACTTCATAGCAACGCGATCTACTATCGGGAAGGTGACACCTGATGTCCTTTCAAAAACTAAGAGAGCAGGTCGGGAGGCAGTTGAAAGAGAAGCATGCAGGACTCGGAGTCCCACAGACTTGGCTTCACATCCCAACTCTGCCAGTGACTAGCTGTGGCACCTCTGGTAGGTCCTTGACCCTCCTGAGTACTTAGTGTTCCCCTGGGTGAAGTGGGGTAATCCCTCCTTCCCAGAGCTGTTGAGATGATGAAACAGGGTACCATCTAAGAAGCATCTGGAATAGAGTAGACCCTCAGTGAATGTTATCTTGAAAATGCATTAATTCAGGTCATCCAAAGCTAGTTATTTGGGACATAAGTTATGGATCAAGCATTGAAGTTGGACACTTGGTGACACCACGTAGCACAGCTTTCCCTGTCCCCCACCTTTTTCTGGTACTGGGGATTGAAGCCAGGGGCACTTTACCACTGAGCTAAATCCAAAGCCCTTTGTATTTTTTTAATTTTGAGACATAGTCTTCTTGCTAAGTTGCTGGGGCTGGCCTCAAACTTTTGACCCTCCTCCCCCAGCCTCCTGAGTTGTTGGGATTACAGGTATGTGCCACCGTACCTGGTACATAGCGCAGCTGTTCAGACAGATAATTCTAGTTTGAATCCCAGATTATCACTTTCTAGCTGTAGAAATGTATATAACTTCTGGGTCAGGGAGGATAATCTATTATTAACAATAGAATGATCGATTATAAGAAATTATTGTGATAATTATGTAGTCTAGATAGCGTGCCCAGCACAGTACCCGACATACATAAAGTGTGAAAAATGACAGTGATTATAAATGAATATGATCATGCTGAAACATTAAAGGGAGGA